GGAGATTAGTGTTTTGACACACTGAAATCATGATTTACGTATGTAAAATGCAAGTATATTTGTAGATGTTTGCCTTTTTGATCCAAAAAAGGACAAGGTGAAGAATGGTCAACTTCCACTAGGAGTGTCTCTTGTTTAAAACACCATAATTAACGTTCAACCTTTAGATGACCTTGAACTGTCTTGTACTTATCACAGACCTATCAGATCTCATTGCTTTTAGCTAAGATGAAAATGTTGATATGTTTGAATGCTATTTCGAATTCGCCTTAATCGGTAAACGTGAGCGAAGACAAATAATCAAGTGACATGATAGGCTACTCTAATCCAAGTGTCCCAAGGCCTCACTAAGTAGAGGAAGAAGTCTTGATAAGACGTGGAAAGTGTATTCTCTACGAGCACTCAGGAAATATGACGTTGACAAGCACACAAATCGAGTTTATTTAAACATGATGGGAACATTCTCGGGAGAACCACAAAAATAGCATACTAAAATAATCCATCAGTCATTGACAGTCAAGGATTTTCTGGGTGTAAATTGTAGTTTTAAAGTCCATGTGCGAAACCACAAAGTCCAAACTTAGGACCTTTATCCAGTAAGTTCTGGGGACCCTAACGTCCCCGACACCACTTCGGTGTTTAGAACAAAACTGTGGTTTTCTGTGAAATTATACAAATTCTTATGTAAGTTTGATTTTCAAAAATTATTTAACAAAGTTGATAAGTAAAATAATGGATTTTTGATCGTTCATTTGTACGATTAGTGAATATCTAGAACTCAAAACAATTACCAACCAACAACAAAGTCAGAATTTTCAATACAATTGTTAAAGCATTTTTGTTGTATGGGGAGGAAACTTGAAGAGCTGAAAAGTTTAGAGATGTTGAAGACGAGAGTACACAAACTACCTGGTGTAGCTCGACCATGCAGGTGTGATTACTAATAATTTGTTCTTCAGAATTCCTAAAAGAGGTATACTGCTGACATTCACGACAGGATGAGTCAGTGTAGGCGATGCTTTGAATTCCATATAAAGATCTTATAAATTAGGGCAGTCAAATAATTGTCAAATCTACCATTGTTGAATAGGTATGTTATTCGAGTAGCATAGATAAGTGTATCAATATCAACTTAACACTTTAGTTCTACATAGACAAATTGTGATTGGTAGTGTGTTAAAACAAAAGACAGTGTTGAAATTTCGATTTGATATATTAATTTGATGATTGAATGACATCATATTATTCAAGGTGGATGAAGTAGATCAGTGGTGAGTGTTATTTCACTTAGATTTCCTACTAGATGGTACTTGTTATCAAGGCTTATCTTTAGTCAAGGTGGGGGTCAGTATTGCACGAAGAGATTTGAACTCGTACAGGATATAATGTCGAATAGAACTAGCTAGAAACTATATAAAAGTCATTTAGATTAAGTTTTAATCTATCAGAAGAACTGAATTCATTATTCTAAGTACTTTTAGAAGGATTTTCCGAAATTTCTTGGCAATAAAAAGTTATGTGCAAAAAAAATTGAACAATAGCTAGAAACACAACTGGAAACATTTTTGTAAAATAAGTATACTACTCAAACATTTTAAGTAATGTAATTATGAACTAAAATTAATTGCACTCACAACAATCATTACATATCGTTTGAAAGATTGACACAATGTCAGTTTATAATCACTATTTACCAAAACCCTAGATTTTCAATTCTTAAACAATAAATAGTTCATGAAAGCTAGTTCCTGCAGGGCGGTATTTATTATGAAAGACTAATCAAGGGTTCAGGAGTCCTGGATGCGCACTGCCACTGATGAGTCCCATATCAGGACGAAACGGTCGTCCAGTGCTTCCAGGTTTCTAATGCTTTCTAATGGTTTCAAATGTGTATGTAACATAACAATCTTCACAACCCCGTAATAAAAATAGGAGTTCCAAAATAAAAATCAAAAATATCATTGTTAGACCACAATTAGAAAGAAACCTGGAATCACTGGATGGCTGTTTCGTCCTATAGCGGTGCTCATCCAAGACCCTCATATGTCTGAATCGAGCCTGCAACCTTCGGTATCGAGCGCGTATGCCCGACCTTTTATACCAGTGAGTGGGCATACAACAGTGTTATTTCCTGTGAGCGGGTATCAGAGATGAGCACTGTTGAGGAATCCCAACACTAAGACGACACAGTGATCCGGTGCTTCCGTGTTTCTATCTAATGATGGTGCTCCAACACTGATTGATTCATGATTTCAATGAAACTCCAAAATTTTCACAACTCTACAATAAAAATTCAAATCAGTGGTCAAAATGAACAACCAGATTCAATAATCAATAAAACTTTTAAATTTAAATCCTATGGATTTAGGATGATAAGTGAGAAACAAAAGTGTTTCACGCTTAAATATAAGATGTTAACTTCTAATTGTGCAACTATAAATCAAATCAAATCTTCGAGTAAAGATTAATGAATAGATTAATAAATGAGATCATATGAACTAAGTAAGTAAGAAAAATAGTAAATTGAAGTGAGTACTTATGAAATTATTCAAGTGTATACAAAATTCTTATTGATGATAATTCATGGACTTAACCAAAAAGTCGGAAGAATTCTACAATTTTTATACTGATAATATTATTTGAAATGAGATAAATTTACTGATGTGACGTGTGCTGTCCGAGAACTAATACAGACATTCAGTTGTCCAGTATACTAGTCCAATCCGTTACAAGTATACCATTTTTAGACTACCATTAGAACACCTAGAAGCAATGGACACTCGCTTCGTCCTGGTATGGGATTCATCAGCAGTGCGCATCCAGGACTCCTGCTACTCGTAGGATTCAAACCCAGGACCATTGGTCTTGCGCGCGAACGTCCAAACTTAAGACCACTGGACAGGTCTTTAACAGTGTTAGTGTTATGCCTGCACGTAAACACGTCAATTTGATATGCTTGGACTATTACGAGTTTACCTAGTCGGAGAACGATAGCGGGGATCAAGGATCCAGCGACACGACATGCTACTCAAATCCGATTATTCCAACCCCCATATTGAGTGAAAATAAGAAGACAAGACTTGATATGAAGTACAACGTGTATTCTACAAGCATCCAGAAAGTACGAGGTTCGAATCCAGAAGAGAATGAGGATTCCGGATTAGGGATCCGGGACCGGGTCCTGGTCCTAGTCATAAAACGTTACAGATAATGTGTATTTATACATTTTGGTCGAATACGAAACAGAATCGAAGTCTGTGACATTGACAGTTAATACGGCCACTAGGAAGTAACATTTGAAGTGAAATTGATAGTCAGGACGGCCAATAAGAAACAACATTGGAGCACGTGAAATTGATATTTGGGACGACCATAAAATTGACCAGTAGTAATTAACCAATAAGAATTGACCAATAATTCTCTTAGAATATTGGATGAATATCCTAACAGTGAGTGTTTAACTCTGATCAGTTTAAGAATTTCGCTCAACATCATCTATTGTCTTCGGTAGTTACTGCCTACAAACGACTGGGTTGAACTTCATCTGTCACATCTTCGCATGATCAGTCTGAAGATTTCGCACAATCTTCGGTAGTTACTGCTAACACGTGTGACAAGGCTGAATTCCATTGGTCACATCTTCTCACTAGAACTTCGAGAATTTCCTCACGAAGAGCTAGTCACTAGTGAGTACATCGATTCATAAGCTTCAGTAACAAATAACATGCTTCATAACTCTGTAATAAAGTCTGGTATTCAAAGGTAGAAATAATGCATGCATTCGTGTGCAAGACTGGAGGTCCTAAGTTCGATTCCCACCTGCGAGTAGCGAGAGTCATGGATGAGCCCTGCCACTGATGAGTCCCATACTAGAACGAAACTGCTGTCCAGAGCTTCCAAGTTACTCGAACAATAATGATGATCAATTTTATCATTTCTCAGGAAGAAGCGATGGAAGTGGATAAGACATACACTACAAAAAGTACCTAACTGCGTCACAAGACAAGCCCTCACTTGGAACCCTCAAGGTAAAAGGTAAAGAGGAAGGCCAAGGAACACATTACTCCGAGAAATAGAGAAAGATATGAGAAGAATGAACAAAAACTGGAAAGAACTGGAGATGGAAGCCCAGGACAGAGTTGGTTGGAGAAAACTGGTGGGCGGCCTATGCTCCATATTGGGTAACAGGCGTAAGTAAGTCAGTAAGTATGTAACTCTTCTAAATGAAGACCATCTAACTCCCAGAGTAGAGTGAGTATCATCGACAACCAAGGTGGATCCGATGCAGATGTAAGGGCACGGATAGGCAAAGCAAGGGCTGCATTTCTTCAACTGAACAACATCTGGAACTCCAAACAACTTTCAACCAACACCAAAATCAGGATTTTCAATACAAATGTCAAGACAGTTCTACTGTATGGAGCGGAAACTTGAAGAACTACGAAAGCCATCATTCAGAAGATGCAAGTGTTCATTAACAGTTGTCTTTGCAAAATACTTCAGACATGTTGAGCAGACAACATCAGCAACAACCTACTGCAGGAGACAACAAACAAGATTGCAGTGGAGGAGGAAATCAGGAAGGAGCGGTGGAGGTAGTTGGAACACACACTGAAGAAAACACTCAAGTGCGTGACAGGACAAGCCCTCACATGGAACACTCAAGGCAAAAGGAAAAGAGGAAGGCCAAGGAACACATTACGCCGAGAAATAGAGAACGATTTGAGAGGAATGAAGAAAAATTGGACAGAAGTGAAAAGGGAAGCGCTGGACAGACAGAGTTGGTTGGAGAAAACTGGTGGGCGGCCTATGCTCCATTGGGGGTAACAGGCGTTAGTAAGTAAGTAAGTAAGTAAGTAAGTAAGTAAGTAAGTAAGTAATTCATCATTTCGGAAATTCATTACAATGCAACCCAACTCTCATACATTTAACATGCAATTGTTTATTTTTAAAACTTATTGATAAATGATTTGTTTAAATTAAACATTACATTGTACATTGAACAAAGTATCCTCTCACATCCTATGTTCACATACATACTATATATCGCATCATTTAAGTAGTATGTTATAGTTCCTTTAAAAAAAAGTATTAACCAATCAAAATTTAGTAAAATGCATTCTTGTGAATTCGTGAATTGGTTTAACAGTTAATAGTTTTATCAGTTCATTGCATAGACTAGGCAGGCATGTCATTTAATCGATAACTTAGTGTGCATATTTGTATTATTATTATTAGGTGAAAAGAATTTAATCTCATGTGATGAATATACTTGGGCCATTAAAATTTTGGTTTTACAATGTTAATGTTGCATTGATTATTTAACTGGAATTGTTAGTAATGATGGGTAAGTTTTTCTGCTTTTCTGCTTTTAAATTAATGTTTAAGTTTTGGGGCAGAGTTTTTGGAGATTTGTGTTGTTTTACACACATTTGAAATCATTAATCAATCATTGTTAGACCATTGTCATTAGAAACCTGGAAGCACTGCAAGATGGCCGTTTTGTCCTGGTATGGGACTCATCAGCAGTGCGCATCCACGACTCCTGCACCTCGAAGTTATTGGAACTCGGGACCTTCGGTATTGCGCGCGAACGCCTAACCATTGGACCACTGTGCCGGCATTGACTGATGATTTCAAATGTGTAAAACACAAACCTCCAAAACTCTGCCTCAAAATATCGTGATAATGCTCACTAGTGACTAGCTTCGTGAGGAAATTCTTGGAGTTCTAGTTGAGAAGACGTGACCGACCAGAGGAGTTCAACCCTGTCGGGGGTAGGCAGTAACTACTACCAAAGACAAATGGGTGAGGTCACGAAAAATCCCTAGATCACTCAGAGTTAGACATTAACACCATTGGATTCCGGCCCAGTGGTCTGGTGGTTAGGCGTTCGTTCACAATGCCGAACGTACCGGGTTCGAATCCTGCGAGGTGCAGGAGTCATGGATGCGCACTACTGATGAGTCCTATACCAGGGCGAAACGGACGTCTTGCAGTGCTTCCAGGTTTCTAATGGTCTTCTAACAATGATTGATTGATGATTTCAAATGTGCTAATGTTTAACTGTTTCCTAAAAATTAGTTTCGTTGGAGGAAATTCCCACTGTTCTAGTGAGACATCATGTTCAGTAGAGTTTAATGCCATGAAGCAGTTATACATTGGATGCGTCTGAGGCAGTGATTTAGATGTTAAGCGTTCACGTGTGAGATAGAAGATCTTAGGCTCGACTCCTGCTAGTAGCGGGAGTCGTGGATTTTTATCAAAACTGATGAATCCCATAATAGGATCAAATGGTCGTCTAGTGATTTCAGGGTTTATAACGATTATCTTATAATGATCGATTCATGATTTCAATGTTCATTGTGGGGTAAGTTGGTCAGGTGAATGAATTAGGCAGAAAGTTAAAAACGGTTCATTCCCTTGTATGATTTAAGTATCTAATTATTGACCTACTTACTTACTTATGCCTGTTACTCACGATGAAGAGCATAAGCCTTCAACCAGCATTCCTCATCCTACTCTGTCCTGAACCTTGCTTTCTAGTTAGGTCGAATCGTTGCTCATTCCTATCTTGTCTGTCTCCATTTCGAGGTGTAGTGCAGACTACCACTGATGAGTCTCATACTAGGATGAAATGACCATCCACTGCTTCTAAGTTTCTTTCTTATGGTGGTCTAACAATTATTAATTCATTATTTCAACGAAGCTCCATTATTCATTGCTTCATTGAAAAACAGGCTGGTGATGGGAATGAAATAGATAGACAGTCAAACAGTTCATTCGTTTATATGATTTAAGTATCTAATAGATGACCTACTTACTTAGTTGTTCCTGTTACCTTGTCATGCACTACCATTCCTCAACCTACTTTGTCCTGAGACTTCCTTTCAAGCTTCACCCAATCGCTGTTCATTTTGTGAATATCTGCTTTCAATTCTCTGCGTAATCGGTTCTTTAGTCCACATCGTTTCCTTTCGCTTTGAGGATTGTAAGACAGGACTTGTCTCATAATACGTTTGAGTGGTTTTATGCTTGTAGCCGTTCTAGGGTTACTGCCGGTCTGAAACCCAGATGTAGGAGGAGGGTCACGTATGTGGTTTGTATTATTTAATTACTTACTCCTGTTGCTCCGTTTAAGGCGTAGGCTGCCTTCCAGGACTCTCCATTCTAGGCTCGCTTGGCTTTTGCAAACCTGCGTCACCTATGGTGCAGGCAAGATATCCGCTTGCTAACCAAAGGACGAGTGAACCATGCAACAGTTCGCTTCGGTGTCTCCGATGCATTGCTCGTGTATCGTGGGACAACCGTTTAAGCAATGCTGTCCTTAGGAAACGAGTTCTAGGTAGGGATGGTAAATCAATAGATGAAGTGGTGAAACTTCATCAGTTGAGGTGGTTGAGACATGTGTTGCGTATCCCTAACCACCGAGTGCCTCGACGAGCTATGTTTTGTGGTGTAGGAATAGGTTGGAAGAAAGTTAGGGGTGGCCGAACCAAAACATGGCAGCAATCCATGAAGTCACTGACAAGTGGACTGAGTCATGTTGGTAGACGTAGGCTACCTGGTTGGTGTCCGCGAGACGATAGTCACCAATGGTTAGAGACCTTGAATGACATGGTTCAAAATCGTTTTTAATGGCACAGGTGCATCCACTCTTTGTGTTCTCTCTAATTCTAACCTTCTGAATTCTTCACCATCAATATCTTTCTCCTTCCAAATTTATCTCACTGAATTATACTTCTCGAATCATATCTTTGCTACCTCATCTTCTCCATTTCTGCGGATACTTCTACTATCGCTATCACTCTTGCATTTGAACTGCCAGTTGCGTCTCTGTGCTGATGTGGTATGGCAACTTGAACTGACATACTTAAGTACGAAGTTCTGCGTTGTATCTGTCTGTCTGTCTGTCTGTCTCCATTCTACTCTCTCCTAGACTCTCCTTTCTCAGTTCTAATCAAGTACTATTCATTCTCTTCATTTCTGTCTCCAATACCTCTTCTCCTTTGACCTTGAGAATTCCAAACTAGGGCTTACCTTGTGATTCAGCTAAATGATTTCCACCTTGTGTGTTCTATTCACCCCCAGCTCTTTCACCTAATTTTTTCTTCAGTTAGAAGTTGGTTTGTTCTCTCTTACACTAGTAGTTTATTACTGACAGTGCCTAGTCTAACGGATCCTCAGTATCTTGCGTAAATATCTGTTTCTATACATTTTCTGATGATGGTTTTCGTAGATCTTCAAGTTTCAGATCGATACAGTAGAACTGTCTTATATCAGTGAATCATCGATGTATTTTAGAAGTCATTATAATTGCCCGATCACAATATCAAAAGTGATTAAAAATGACCTTGTGAAAAATAACTTCGTAATAGGATTCTCGGAGTTCTTCTGTTAAGAGTCTGTAACTAGTGGAGTTTGTGTACATATACGTTGTGTGTTTTTGAGATGGTGGAGAAAACTTGTAGCTCAGGTTGTCCCACCTGTGTTCTCGTTCACTACATTTGGTGTCGCTGCCTGCTCGAAGGAAGGAGCTCCCGTGGCCGTAGGTGTTGGAAGACGGAGATTTGCAGAGCTTCCTGGAGGGGTTTGAGGCCGCGGTGGAGCTGGTGGGGGCTCGGGGCGGAGTTGGCGGTGCTGGGGACGCTGCGGGGAGGTGAGGCGAAGGCGGTATAAGACAGCCTGGACGGTGCCGCCGGGAAGACGGCGTGGGAGACAGTCAACGGGCGGCTGATGACGGAGTTCAACAGCCCGGTGGACAGGGAGGAGGCATCGCAGAGGTTCCGGTTGGCGAGGCTGTCGGCTGATGGTGACCCGTTGGTCCTGGCTGTGGAGCTCACGATATTGCTGCGCCGTACGCTGCCGAGCTCAGGCAACCAAAACAACCAGCTCAGAGACTGAAACACCACCACAATATGTTGTGTGTGTACATATACGTTGAGCAGATAGTACTCGTCCCAGACTTTGGACAAATGAATTAATGCATTCTTCTGTAGTTATTCCCATGTCTATTGACCTTGTCAATGATTCGCTCATATTCTAGTTAGTTTTTAATTGTGTGTGTGTGTATTTGTGTATATATTCACTTCACTTATTACATGTCTAGCCTATTTTTGCCTGAAAATAAATACTTAGACATGCTTCATCGAAGCGATTTACTTCACTCACCTTCTCCGCTGCTCTTCACTTGGTTTTTACGCTTTTTATCCTCATATTTGTGTGCGTGAACGATTTCCGGAAATAAATTCGTCGGCGAACAAACGAAAGTTAACCTAAGTACAAAAATTAATGAGAACATTTGCTTGATTCATCCGAACCTAAGACAAAAACTGATAGGCAAATCAGCATGACACTAAAAAGAAGCTTTCTTTCAAGTCTATTGGCACATAAACCAACACAGAATCACTTCAATCAATCCTATGCAGACCAAAGGACAAAATAACAAATGAATACGCACCAAATATCATCTACAAAATAAACAACTGCTCAGACTGTGAAAAACACTACACATAGGACAAAGTGGACTGCCTCTTCAGCTTCGTTTACGTGAGCACCAATTAGCAGTCAAACGACACGACAACGCTTCGCTTATATCAATACATAACGACAATTATGGACACACATCTGATTGGAACAATGTGGAAATACTGGATAGGGGGAGAACAAAGAACACTAAAGAATTTTTAGAAGCTTGATACTGAGGTCAGTCAATCAGCAATCAACAAACACATCGACATTGATCCAGTTTATCAACCAATCAGGAAAATCATAGGCGACAAGAAACCGATCGAAAGGGAGATACAATCAAAACAAAGGTGCAAACAACGACAGATTTAAGGTCAACAACAACCATTCAAGAACAAGCTACAGGTCATGCACGTGGGTAAATTCGAAACTACTTCACTTCTTCTATCTGAAGTTTGTGCTGATGATGTTGTCGTTCAGAAGAGGAAAATGAAAGCTCTACACAACCTAAACATCCAGCTTACAGAGAACGAGAAACACCATCACAAGTCTGTTGATTTTATCGTAACACCAAATGTTCATTAAAGTTGGTCAAACTACATTATTACTAAGTTATTCAGACCATAACTAACCTTTAGAACTAATTGTGAAAGCATTTGTTCTCGAAAATCATCTATATTAATAACATAAAGTTTTCAATTAGAGTTATGGAGATTAGTGTTTTTACACATTTGAAATCATCAACCAATCATTGTTAGACCACCGTTAGAAACCTGAAAGCACTGGACAGCCGTTTTGTCCTGATATGGGACTCATCAGTGGTAGTGCGCATCCACGACTCCTGCACCTCGAAGTTATTCGAACCCGGGACCTTCGGGATTGTGCGAGAACGCCTAACCATAGGACCACTGGGCCGGCATCCAACGGTGTTAATGTGTAACTCTGATTGATCTAGGGATTTTGCGCGACCTCACCCATTTGTCTTTGTTAGTAGTTACTGCCTACACCCGACAGGGTTGAACTCCATTAGTCACATCTTCTCAACTAGAACTCCAAGAATTTCCTCAAGAAGCTAGTTGTCACAAATGAGCACCTTTTACGATATTTTCAATTAGAGTTATAGAGATTAGTGTTCTTACACATTTGAAATCATTAATCTTATAATTACCAGGATACCTCTCTAACAAAGAGTCTAATAACACGAAACATAGGTTCGTGGGGTTTTATATTCACACTGTGGTGCGAGCTAATTATAAGTAGTATATGACGTGAGTGTCAACGTAATGTCTGGCAGCAGAAGATGGGGAAAGATCAAGAGAAAGGAAGAGTTAGAAAACAATGGAATTTGTATGAAATGCATGGATAGTGACAATGGATTGATGTTTTGCAACAGGAACAGTCCAGTTCGATATGATGATGAACTTATATTTTGCAAATTAACAAACGATTTACGATATGATTTTCCTATTTTACTGAGTAACTGTGTAATTTTCGTTACAGACAATTCGGTTGCCCTCACCTGTGTTCTCATTCACTACAACACTACCTCCAAGTACTTTCTTACTATTATAAAAACTTAATATTTCATTAAAGTTAACCTTTTTTTTCTGATGATAACCTTTTTATTCAGAAGAAGAACACGTTGGCCTTGAACTTTTAAATATTCTACCAACTGAGATTTTACTCAATGCATTCAATGTTAAATTATTAAATCAATGTTCAATTTGTATGGAAAAATATTCAATTGGAGATAAAGTGATACGATTGCCATGTTTTCATGCATTTCATTACAATTGTTTTGTTGATTGGATTTTAGAGGTAACATGAATGAATGAATATTAAGTTTTTATTTGTTTTACAGTGTGTGTCTGTGTGTGTGTGTGTGTGTGTGTAATAGAGACTATTTTTTCTGATGTAAACAGATTTTGGTTAGATTGTAGTGAAAGGAGAACACAGGTGAGGGCAACCGAATTGTCTGTAAAATCGGAGAACCATATCGTAAATCGTTAGTCAATTTGCAAAATATAAGTTCATCATCATATCGAACTGGACTGTTCCTATTGTAAAACATCAATCCATTGTCACTATCCATGCATTTCATACAAATTCCATTGTGTTCCCTCCCACTCTTCCTTTCTTGATCTTCCCCCATGTTCTGCTTTGTTTGATAAGGAGTTGTGTAGTCTACAAGCACCCAGAAGATACGAGGTCAACAAGCACATAAATCGAGCTTATTTATAAATGACAGAAACGCCTTCAGGAAAGCCACAAAATAGCGTACTAAAATAATCCAGTAACCAATGACAGTCAAGGATTTTCCGAATGGGAAGGTCAACGAAGCGTCTTATGCTCGAAAACATATAAAACTTCCAAAATTAAGACCCTTTCCAAGTGAGTTTTGGGGATCTAACGTCCCTAAAACTACTCCCCTTTTTGATAGTATATGTTCCTGGGGTTGACTAGCATCTTGACTGTTGTTCGCCTCTGTCTGTGAGGATACCTTCGGGAACAGAGGTCAGCTTGTTGTTGAGCTTCTCCTCGTGGTGGAGCTTCCGGTAAGTTGAAGGTATCTAGCAGGGGAAGAGTTACTCCTGTTGATGTGAGATCTGGGGCTAGCCGTTTGCGTATCTGATTCCGAAGGCGTGACCATCTATCGCTTCCTACTTCTACTTCGTACATGACACGACCCACTCTTCTGATCACTCGCGCTTCTGTCCGTGGTACATGAGCTGGTCTATAGTCACAGGCAAACACAGAACATTCCACTTGGTACGTAGATCACTGTTCAGACTTTGTATGTACTGGTGTTGATGCATTACTCGGATGCATCAGGCGGTGGATCTTTTTCACTATTCTTCCCATCAGGATTTCTGCTAGGGACTTTCGGTCCGGTGACGTCTCATTTGGTGCTAATAGATTGACGTACAAGAAATTTTTTAACGTGTCAGCTGGTGTCCCCTCACCTCTTGATTTAACCAATGATTGGTGTGTATGTTGAGAACTACTGCTGCAGAGGCTGTTGCTACACTGGTCGTCTTTTCCTGCATTTGTTGTTGCATGTGAGGTAGAAGAGCCAGGCCATCTGCGAAGTCTAGATCATCCAGCTGCGTCCTAGCTATCCACTGCATCCCGTACTTCCCCCAAATGTTGACTTCTTCATAATCCATTCGATCACTGGGAGAAAGAGGAAGGGTGAGAGTAAGCTCAACTGCCTGACACAGGTCCTCATCTCAAAAGATTCTGTCAGCTGACATCCGTTCACAATTTTGCAGTTTAATCCATCATAAGAATTCCGTATGATGTTAATTATTTTCTCTGGCAGGCCGTAATGTCGAAGAAGTCTCCATACTGTTTTCCCGTCCACGTTATCGAATGCTTTCTCGTAGTCGATGATTATTCCACAATGATCCGTAATGTTGCAATTTAGTCGGTACACGATCGATCCTTACGAAATCCAGCCCGTTCGTCTCAAAGTTGGACGTCTACAAAGTGCTTCATTCTGTTTAACAATACCCTATTGAATACTTTTCCTGGTAATGAGAAAAAAAATAAACCAAACCATTTTAAGATGAAACTGTCAGTACTTTTTTGCTAAACAAATAAAATATTATTTCTGTTTTAAGCATTGATTTGTCCGTTTTATCATTTTCATATTTGAATAATTTTGTTTTAATTATCTTGTCAAGTGTTTAGATTGTCCAATATGTCGGCGACCAGCCTATGAATTTGAATAATGCTGCTGTTGCTGATGCTGTTATTAACTGAAAGAATTGAATATTTAACGTTTCAATGACAGAAAGAAACACAGTCAGGAAAAAAATTCAAATTATGCGCGCGCGCGCGTTTTTTCTCCTTCTTCTTCTTCTTCTTCCTCATCTTCTTACATTGATTGATCAATGAAAATAATTCATCATTTTTTCTAAAAAGATGTATGTAAATAGTTTTTATTTTTGATTTATTGATCTTTGTTTGAATTGAATTTTTTTGAATACAAAAAGAAATCGATTCTGAATTATAGTATTTCTGTTACGCCTGCACGTCAACTTTTGATACACTTGAACTATTACGAGTTTACCGAGTTGGAAACGCGAGAGCGAGGATAGAAGATCCGGTGACATAACATGCTACTCTAATCCGATTATTCCAACCCCCATACTGAATGAAAATAAGAAGACAAAACTTGATATGAAGTACAACGTGCGTTCTACCAGCATCCATAAAGTACGAGGTCCGATTCAAGAAGAGAATGAGGATCCCGGATTAGGGATCCGGGTCCTGGTCATAAAACGTTACAAATAATGCGTATTTATACATTTTGGTCGAATGAGAAACAGCATCGAAGTCTGTGAAATCGACAGCTAAGACGATCAATAGGAAGCAGCATTTGTAGTGACATTGATAGTCAGGACAACCAATAAGAAATAACATTGGAGCACGTGACATTGATATCTACAACGGTCATAAAATTGACCAGTAGTAATTAACCAATAGGAATTGACCAGTAATAATTCTCTTAAGATATTGGATGAATATATCCTAACAAGTATTATGGAGACTCTTGTTTTTACACATATTGAAATCATGAATGAATGAGTGTTAGATTACCATTGATGTACTGGCTCAGTGGTCGCGTTGGAACGGTCGGTCAACCCTGTCGAGTGTAGGCAATAACTCTACCAAAGATAAATGAATGAGTTCACAAAAAATCCCTAAATTGATCAGAGTTAGACATTACTGCAGTTGGATGAAGAAATAGTGGTTCAGAGGTTAAGCATTCGAGAGTAAGATCGAAGGTCCTGACTTGGAATACTATGAGTAGCAGGAGTAGTGGATGCGAACTGTTACTGATGAATCCCATAACGGGACGAAACGGCCGTCCAGTGATTTCAGGTATCATCTAATGGTGTAGTCTAATAGTAATCGATCCATGATTTAAAAAATATTTTAAAAAATAATTCATTTTTAGTGGTTATTTTTAATCTTTTCATTTAATGTGTTAGAACTGTGTGACTGATCATTGTCAGTTTGGCATATGTATTGTGCATTCTGTATGCAAACTGCCTTGATCATTCATTACATCAAGTCAAAAGCTTTATAAGTCTGCAATGCAGATAATATCCAGTTAAAGACATGTTCCAGATAGAATGAAACATGTGACCTGGGTTTCACTGTTAGTCACGCACGGCCATTCTATGGACAGTGTTTAAAGTGTTTGCTCCACTCTTGAAAAAGCCTTATCGTTGTAGAAACAAATTTGTAGTGTAAGGTGAGGTGTGACACTTTTCGCGTCTACCTTTTCTAACCTCTTCCTTCTCTGTGACAAAGGCAGCATCGTTGCAGATGCTGAATGTCTGGAGGAAACACCTTACTACTGTCACACACCTCTACAGTCATCTGTAAGACTTCACCCTCAGACCTTCATTTGCTTCTTTCAGTCTTAGTGACAATCAATCTTAACTTTCTCAATAGTTTCATATCACAAAAGAGACCGGGAGATTACATGTCAGGAAATCAATTGGGATGAAGTTTAAATAATCAATACAGTTGACTTAAAACTTACCATTTTGCACAAACGAGTAGTTACTCAGAGTCACTAGATAAGCAAATGATTTATTCCATGTTGGAAGCAAGATATATATATTGTGTAAACATTAACATCAGGATGAAAGTACATCAAGCTGAAGAGGTCATAGTAGGCCGAAACATGTTTCCTGAGCGACCGACCATCAAACTTTGTTGAATAAAAGATTCTTTTTAAAATACTGAGATCAAGAGATAAACCATTTAGATCAGTTTGTTTATCTTTCTATATCCCTGTTAGCTAACTTGGGCAGAGATTGGGCGGATCACTTACTACTCCATTGTCTTAACTGACTTTGAGAGACTTCGAGGCTCATAAACTAGAAGCCATCAGGATTGTTCAGTCTGTATGGTTGTGTAAACGAATTGTGTGGGCTCCAGTCTGCACAATTTATGTTCATAGGTATCTACAAATGGTACGCCTACGGGCTCGTAAAAAGTATATTCTTAGTTAACCAACGAGCCTGATGCACATGCACGCCGCTGCTTTTTAGGCAACACAAGGATTCTCACGAAAGCTAATTTTGTGATCACCCCTGCCCCATACGGGAACGCACATGTTATCTAGATTGGTCTGAAGACAAGCACTCACACGAGCAGTGACCCAGTTCAGGCACTTATGAATCAACTCAATCCCTCCAACTAATCGACTACCCACAATTTCCAGTCGGCAAGGTGAGCTTTCCCAGCTAGACCTATACGTATGCTACGAGATATATGAGGTGGTAATCCATGTGTTTCTGATATGCATGTAACATACACTTACTTCCGATGCGATGCCCTCAAGACCAGATCCTTAGGGTAACAGTTTTACTATGCTTGTGCTAATTAAGAGACGCCTTGATATCGGCAAGCGGAAAGTAAACTAGTGAAACAATAACAGGACATAGGGAGTGAAGTAGTCGGGTGTATAGACCGCTGCACCTATCTTGAGAGTCTCATCAGTGCTGATGGCCTGGTGACTGCCAAAATCTCAGCACGAATACAGAAGGCTCGATTGGCTTTTGCCAACCTGCGTCACTCATGGCCTAGGCGAGATATCCGCTTGTTAACCAAATGACAAGTTTACTGTGCAGCAGTTCGCTCTGTCCTACTACATGGATGGGAAACATGGCCAGTGAGAGTAGAGGACATACGTAGATTGCTTGCTTTCGATCATCGGTGTCTCCGATGCATTGCTCGTGTATCATGGGACAACCGTATAAGCAATGATGTCGTTAGGAAACGAGTTCTAGGTAGGGATGGCAAATCAATAGATGAAGTACTGTAACTTCATCAGTTGAGGTGGTAGGGACATGTGTTACGTATGCCTAACCACCGACTGCCAAGTCGAGCTATGTTTTGTGGTGTAGGAGTAGGTTTGAAGAAAGTTAGGGGTGACCAAACTAAAACATGGCAGAAATCCATGAAGTTACTGACAAGTGGACTGAGTCATGTTCGTAGATGTAGGCTACCTGGTTGGTGTCCGCGAGACGAAAGTCACCGATGGTTAGAGACCTTGAATGACATGACTCAGAATCATTTGCAGTGGTGCAGGTGCATCCACTCTTTGTGTTCTCTATAATTCCTCATCATCACTATCTTTCTCCTTCCAAATTTATCTCACTGAATTATACTTCTCGAATCATATCTTCGCTCCCTAATCTTCTCCATTACTGCTAATACTTCTACTATCACTATCACTATTGGATTTGAAGTGACAGTTGCGTCTCTGTGCTGATGAGGTATGACAACCTGAACTGATGTACTTACGTACGAAGTTCTGAGTTGTATCTGTCTGTCTGTGTGTCTGTATAGCAGGACAGCTAGGCTATTCTTTCTCAACCAGCCCAGTCAACTAAAGCAATACATCCCAAGTTAGCAAGCAGGAAGACTGCATAATCCACAATCAACTTCGAGGAAACGAGTTATTTAACAAACAATCAATTCAAGGTCCTTCCTAGTAAGCAACACAAACTAAAGATTATAATGGGCGCCTTTAACGCGAAAATCGTTAGTTTAAATTTACAAAAACAAAAACTATACAATGAAGGTCAGATTTACCAAGCGATTTCTTCGTCGAATCTAGCATTTCCAACAAGTTCTATCTATACTATTTGATAATCGATAAAAGATGGAGCAATTGATCTCCATCATCATCATCATCCGCGTAAGCAGTAATCACTCATAAATAACTCGTGTTCAAAGTTCAATTTCATTGTTCAATAGTGAAGGTTATTCTTAATATGGGGGGTTTCGCTTCCAATTTTTTGCATGAATTAATTCATTTCCAGTTACTTGTCGTTTCATTTTCTCCTTGTGTACTTCTTACTGTATATGTAATGTTGGTATGTGTGTGTGCATCATTACTGTCTAATCTACTCGATAATGATCACTTTTATTTACAATGAATGTCTATCACATATACTAGACATTTTTGAAACTATGAATCGATCAATGTTAGACCAGCATTAGAAACCTGGAAGCACGGCAAGACGGCCGTTTCGTCCTAGTACGGGACTCATCAGTGGTAGTGCGCATCCACGACCCCTGCACCCCACAAGATTCGAACCCTAACCGTTAGACCACTGAGCCGGTATGTATCTAACGGTGTAACGATGTGTTGTAACTTAACAATCTTCACAACCCCGTAATGCACATATATCATACACTGTTCTTCATCATTATGTAACTATTGATTTCACATAAAAATTACACCTTTTTATTTTTTTCTGATAACATCAAAATGCAAATTAAAATGAAACTGTCAAAATTTCATACGAGACACATACATGCTGATCATTATCATTAATTATCTTGTCTGTTGTTATAATTATTGATGTTTTTTTTGAATAAGGTAGTGGTGAGTGGATGTGTTGCAATAAATGAACCTAGCCAAAAAAAAAATCAATCTCTTTTACTACTATACTACTTAAATATAACATGAAAATGTAAAATTACAACTGATGATAAATTTGGATATTGAATTGTTTTAATTTTTTGGTTACAGTCAGGTTTGTATGTGTTATGCCTGCACGTAAACATATCAACTTGATATGCTTGAACTATTACGAGTTTACCAAGTTGGAAAACACGAGAGCGAGGATTGCGGCTCCGGTGACATGACATGCTACACAAATCTGATTATCCCAACCCCTATATTGAGTAAAAATAAGAAGACGTGATATGAAGTAGAACGTGTATTCTACAAGCATCCAGAAAGTACTAGGTCCGAATTCAGAAGAGAATCAGAATCCCGGACTAGGGATCCGGGACCGAGTCCTGGTCCTGGTCGTGGTCATAAAACGTCAAAGATAATGCGTATTTATACATTTTGGTCGAATACGAAACAGAATCGAAGTCTGTGACATTGACAGCAGTTAAGACGACCAATAGGAAGCAACATTTGAAGTGACATTGATACTCAGGACAACCGATAAGAAACAACATT